GGGAGGAACCGGCAAGGTCAATTGATAGATATATCAAGACATCTTCACTATTGTCTCAGTGAAAAGCGTGTGGCTTCAGTTTGCTTTTTTGTTTGCTTGTTTTTGGTTTCGGTGTGGCTTGGTTTCTAACGCACTAATCTCTTTAACAACCACGCCTTCCCTGTTCATGAATTTCAGTGCATTCCTGTTTTGGCCAGACCACACATTTTCAAATCCTTCTATGCTTCCTTTTGTTCCCAGTTCAAAAAGCATTCAACAATATCTATGCCATTTTGAAATTTCCTCCACCAGATTAATTAGACCATTACTTTTAAATCCAGAACACAAAGTATTGGCCAGGCAGAATGCAGATGACTTATATATAACCCAGTTCCTAATGGATTCCTCACTTCTACCTGAAACCTTGAGAACATTGTCTGTCCTATCCATACTTTATCAACATTGTGGTCTTCTGAGTGTCCATTGAAATTAGGCACCGTGCTGTGCTGACCAAATCCTAGGTGTACCAACCTGCTTCCCCAGTGTTCCATTATGTCACAATGCCCTCACCCCTGGTACCACCCCTAGTTTCTCTTCTATGGCTTTGACTGAGCCAGTTAAGAAAGCAACTTAAAGGCAAGAGGAATATGGCTGTTAATACCAGGCTTGGGTAGCAGAGATGGGATTGTAGCAAGTTCAAAACCAGTCTGGCCTACTTAATAAATTTGAAGTCAGCCTGGGCTAGATAGCAAGATCTTGCCTTAAAACCACCAACAAGGGAAAGGGACTATTCTGCACGTGGTCTCTTGCTCAGCCCCCGGGGAGCTTGTGAAGAACACTATGGCAGTGGGAAAGAATGGAAGAGAGGCTTCTTCACATCATGGAAGACAGGAAGCAGTGGACTCTGAGCAAGCCACAGCCCCCAAGGACACATACAGTGACCTTCTTCCTCCAGCTAGGTCCCACCTCCTAAGGTTTCAGAACCTCCCAAAGTAGGACCACCAGCTTGGGACTACGTCAGCATCTGAGCTTGTGAAGGACACTTCACATCCAAGCCCTAACATTGTCAGCCTTGCAAAGGCCGCTGCTCTGGCCCAGAAACCCCACCTCTAAGATTTCATCGCCACACGCTCCCCCACAGGTGCACCAAGGGTGTACGAAAGTCTTTGCCACGTGACTTCTAGTCACAGAGAAGCCTGGGAACCACTTATGCTCCCACCAGTGAGGATTCAGGATAAACGCTTACAGTGCTTTTACACAATGGATTACCAAACAAGCTTTGCAAAGAAATATCATATCAAAGATATAAACGAACAAACAAACAAACATGGACAGGACTTTGATTATTGTAAAAGCCAAAATGGTCTACCAAGCAGTTTCCAGGCTGAGCACTTTTACCCTGCAGGGAAGCCAAAGCCTTCCAAGGCACGTCTGGGCGTGGTAATCCGTGTTCTCTTTCATAATACTAATCTTCCTGAAAACAAACCAGGCATTCCCACCCTTCTACTGGTTTACAAAGTAAAGCCACATTCTTCCCTGTCTTGATCTGCCTACAGGACTTTGGCCCAGGCGCAAGATCCTCTAGAGACGAACCATCTGAATTCCAACATGTTAGAAGTATTGGTAGACTCTTCAAAGCCTCTTCTGATAGACTTGTTCCAAGCCTGAGGAAGAGCCATAGGCCTCCCCTGTCTTAGAGATTCCTCTACATTCTCACAAGAGCACTTTTGACATAGGGTGTGCAGGTTTCTTTCTCTGTGATCCCTAGCGGGGCATCTTACATCCAATTCACTGCTGAGCTATTATCTGCCTATTACAACTATTATCTGAACTATTAGAATCAAACCCAACAAGTTAAGGGTTCTTTCTTTGAGATATGCT